TCTTATCCAGATGAAATTTATGCTGTAGATCTTGAAAGTTCATTAGTGTCTGAGTCTGGTTCATAAAGATTCTGAATCATTACCTTTATTGTTTTTAATTAGAAATATCTAAATAGAATTGTCTAGACAGAATGACATTAAAAGCACCGGAAATATCTTTTGTAGAGCGATTTTTCTTTTAAATAGCTTAGAAATGATGCGTTTTATTATCAAACCCTATAGAAGAAAATCCACGCTTAATGAATCTTAAGGTTTTCATTGTCTTAAGCTAGAAAAGCAAATCAAATGTTTGTTGTTTAAGATGGTAACAGATTTCCTTTGACAATTATTAAAAAGGAAAAAAATAGGTCACATTATATATATTATATATATTAAAAAGTCTTATATTGCGGCAGAAAAAATAAAGACGTATTGCATCCAACGACTTGTCCTTAATCTTTATCTGTTTCACTAAACTCATAAGCAAAGTTTGACCGATTCACCGATTTTAACATTTAACTGATTTGCATTTACCATTTTGATCACAGTTTAAAGCCAACTAATTCTATCAGTGTACGGATTCCTTTTATATATAAAGATCTGTAGGACTGAGCAGTTAGATGGGTGTTTATCATCAGTAGGGAAACTCTCGCAGGTATTTAAATGTGAATCTGTTCTCCGTTGAAGGCAGCTGTGATGGCCAAGCTTCAGGGCTTCGAGTTTTGGAGGAAGACCTTGAAGGAGGCGCGTTTTGTAGTGGCGCCGATGGTGGATCAGAGCGAGCTGGCCTGGCGTCTGCTGAGCAGGAGACACGGCGCTCAGCTCTGCTACACGCCTATGCTGCACGCTCAGGTATTCGTCCGGGACGCCAACTACAGGAGAGAAAACCTTTACAATGAGGTCTGTGCTGAGGACAGACCTCTCATTACTCAGGTGAGAATTCAGACGCACAGGGTTATGAGTAGATACTGAATCTGTGCCACTAGGCCATTTCACGCTTTAAACAGTCTTGTTGTGCGTGTTGTCTGAAAACTCACGTGGCGCCGTGCCTTAAAGACTTAACGCACCAGGCGGTTGAAATGAGCTGATGCCCCTTAACACGGCGGCTATAGATGGAATGTAAAAGTAGACGCCACTGACGCTCAGAACGCAACGTAAGGCTCTGACAAGTCGCAGTCAGTCAAAAATAAAATGAGCTTCAGTGTCTGATGGATATCAGAAATATCAAAGCCAACATTTAAAGAGACTAAACCCTTCAACCAGGGTCAGAAGTTTCTGCTTGATTAGCAGCTGAACTGGATGGCAATCCCACCCCCTAGGATTTTTCCTGGAAAGTTTTGTTTCTTTTGGTGAATATTTTGCCATCAGCAGGCCCAGATCCAGTAATAACCAAGAGGTGGGGTTCAATATTTAAACCGGGGGGGCGAAGAAATGAAATAGAAACAGGGATAAAAGTATTCCAGTCCCAGGCTGGATTTCTAGATCGTAGTGATTGCCTGTGGGTAAAAAAAAAAAAAAAAATCACTCAAAAATAAATTGGCGGTAATTAAATATAAAAAAGACAATTGCGATCCCTCTTGCGTTTATCAGCCAATGGTAGCAAAGGAGTGCTCTGAAACGAACCGTATTAGCCAATCAGAATTAGAAGGGGGCGGGTCTTAGGAAAGCATGTACTTCCTCCTGTCGTTTCTTGCTTAAGTCACCAGATAGATTGTGGTTCAGTGCAACACCAAAGTTCTACACTGTAGAAAGAAAGCCAGCTGCTGGAATCTGAGTTAAAAAAATTGTGTTTTCCAACCATTTAAAGACTAAATTATCACTTCTGACAAGAATGAGCTGAACTACTGAACTGTTTATCGCTGCTGTTCTCTACGTGTAAATGCAGTGTCTCAACATCGTTGTTTCTTTGCAAATTTTGTGACCGATAGTTATTCATTCATCTAGATTTTTTATTAGTTACACATAATAAATGATAGTCATATGAAAAAGTTCTAGCACCCCTATTAATCCTAATTATTTTTGTTCCGAAATATTAGCAACAGCTATTTCAGTTTGATATATCTAATAACCTATGGACATAGTAATATTTCAGTATTAAACTGAGGTCTATTAGACTAACAGAAAATGTGCAATATGTATAAAAAAAAAACCTGCCAGGTGCAAACAATGTGGGTACCTTACTTAATTTTATTAATTTGAATACCATTAACTACTTTGCACTGACTTACTGAAACACAAAATTAGTTACTTCATTAAGATTTGAACTTCATAGCCAGGTGTATCCAATCATGAGAAAATGTATTTAAGGTGGCGAGTTCGAAGACGTTCTCTGGTTGAATCAACTCTTAAGATTCATCATGGGCGCCTCAAAACAACTCTGAAATGATCCTGATGTTAAACCTTACATTGTAACACATGGTGTCCTATCTTCTCTGCTCTAGTTTTGTGCCAATGACCCTGAGGTGTTCCTCCAGGCTGCCCTCCTGGCCCAGGACTACTGCGACGCCATCGACCTCAACCTGGGATGTCCTCAGATGATCGCCAAGAGAGGTACGTCCACATGGATCTGAGCGTAGGAGGATCCTGACCAGAGCAAATCTAACAGGCACTGCTGGTAAACTAACTGACATGGTGGCTTTTAAGGACACTACGGAGTTTTTCTGCAAGATGAATGGGAGCTGTTGAAGAGGATGGGTGAGTCTCTCCTAACATATTGCAGGAAACTTCAAAAGTGATGTTTGTTTTTCTGGCAAATGTTAAAGAAAAAGTCCGGTCAGCATGAAAGATCAATGGATCATTGTTTATACCTAAAACTAATACATTTACAGTGATTTAATAATTTTACTGTTAATGAGTAAAAAAATAAAAACAATTTTCATCACAATTACTGAGTCTGGGAGCGGCCATTTTTGCCCTAATATAGTAGCCCCTCCCTCCTGCCATCTTCCAGCA